TCTAACTCTCCAGGAGTCACAGTATCCCAGGCACAGCGTGTGCCCAGCACTCTTCCTGCACTAGTTAGGCTAGATTTTTCCACAACAGCCACATAAGCTTGGTGCATACGGGGTGGGTTTTACAGATTAGGGAACAGAAGCATAGAGCAGCACTACTCAAACTGCAAAACACGGATGTGTACAGTCCCGGGTGAAGCCAGAACAGAAATCACAGCATTTAAGAACATTTATATTGCTGAGCAAGTGCAAGGACCCAACTTCGATCCTCGGTACCAAAAAAATAGAACATTTATACAGTGGATCCTAGAGTTATGACCGCCCTGACATACGAACAACGTGGGTTACAACTGGGATTTTAGTTTTGACTTATGAAAAAGTCTTGAGTTATGACCCGAAAGCCAGCTGCTTGTGGTTCCAGATGTCTCTGATACAGACTTAACCCTTAAAGAGTTCTGGAGGGAACATTGCAACATCTGTTCCTATTAATTGAGAAATCCTGGGCCAGTGTCTCTTTAAGGACACGGAGACCTGCCTATACATGGGAGACTTTGAAGGCTGTGTAGAGGAGCCTGAGCCTTCAATTGACCAACTTGAGTTACAACCAACCCTCAGGAGCAAATTTAGTTTGTAAGTCAAGTGTCCATTGTAGCAGTTTAATGTTGCTAAAATGCTTTTATTGTATTTTGCAAAAGAATTGGTGTATAATAGTTTGGAAATAACAAAGAAGGAAAGAAGGGAGGGAGGGGGAGACAAAAACCCCACTTCGGCCCTGACAGCTAGTGCAGCACCATCGAGGAATCCGGAGTGTGGGAAGGATCGTCCCACCCTACCTGGCGTCAAAGCCCTTGTTCTTTGGCGTGAACTGTCTGTCACCTCCTTGGATGTCCTTGGTGGGGACGATTCCAGAGAGAATCAGAACAGCACTCTGGCGACAGTTTCTCATCATTCTTGAGGGATTTAGAGGCTCTGACTTCAGAATTTGGGGTGGTAGGCTAAGAAGAGGAAAATAAACTTCAGAATTTGAGGCACCGAAGAGAGTTCAAAGCAAAGCAAGTTCTGGCTCCTGTCACCATCGCTGTTATCTTTGTGACCATCATGTTCACAAACATGGATTGGGAGCTTTTGGACCAGAACTGTCTGTGGGTTTTACACCGAGCCCCTGGAGTTCCCAGCAGGACTCAGCAAGGGAGATGCTACTGACGGAGCAGCAGAGCAGGGGCCCAAATCAAGCACCTAAGCGTGCGCCTTCCCCACCCATAAGCCAGGACAGGGGCTTCAGGAGGCGCCCGGACCTTCTGGTTAATAGTAGTGCTTCGGAGATAGACAGACTACTTTGCATTTGGCTGGGGAGCTGTTATCTTGGACGTTATGTAACCTGTCTGTACTTGATCACATATATGTAAAGTGGAGAAAACAAGTCTTGCCTCGAAGGCTTACGGTAAAGATTGAACTTGAAGAAACTGCACCCAAGCATGGTGCACGGTACCCAATCAAATATAGCTACTGGTAATATTAAATTCATGGGTCAGTAGTTTTTAGGTTAGCACGAGAGAAAAAGAAAAGTGGAGTTGGCAGCCCATGGATTTTGATTCCCAGTCACAGACTTGACTGAATTTTGTCTCTCGCAGTAATGTATGGTTTGGAGGAGTTTTTTTCTGTCACACTTTGCACGAGTGAAATTAGCATAACTCACTTTTCCTGTTTGCTAGGATGCCACAGTCTTTAGATATCCTAGTCGGTGGTTGAAATGCTGCTCTTTTAGATATTAGAATATGAAGACCAGTTGGGCGGCCATGGTGCCGCACAGCTGTAATCCCAGCGCCCTGGGCACCTAAAGCAGGGGATGAAAATCTGAGCCCAGCTTGGGAATCTTCATTGAGACTCTGCCTCAAAATAAGAACTGAAAAAGGACTGGGGATGTAGTTCAGGTCGAGGGGCCTGGGTTCAAGCCCCAGATCTGCAGTAAAACCAAGCCCAAATGAGGCGTTCAAACAGACCAACTCCATACACACCAAAGCTCATATTCAGGAGACCATGAATTATGTGCGTGCGCATTTTATTAATTACCAAGCTAGTTCTGATGTCCATTCTGCAAATGCAAGTTACAGAAGGCAAAGATGTTTGCTTTTTTGTTCCCCAGGGCCCAGAACAGCACCCACTGGGTACTCAGTAAATATCTATTAACAATGCATCTTATTAGCTAAGTCAGCCGAAGCAATTCAGCCTCCTTAACACTATTTAAGATGGCATTTTAAAGATGCATTTAAAAAAATAAAATAAAATAAAAATACATTTTTTTCGCCAGGCGTGGTGGTGCATGCGTGTCATCCCAGCACTGGGGAAGCTGAGGCAGGAGGATTGACGGGAGTTTGAGGCCAGCCTGAGCTACATAGGGAGACCCTGTCAAAAAACAAAATAAATTTTTTCAGGACTAGGGTGTAGCTCAGTGGTGGAGCACCTGCCTGGCTGGTGGCCAGCTCCTTAAAAAGGAAAAAAGAAGGAAGAAAAGCAAGCAAGCAGGATGAGCCCTTGGGGCTTGTGGACCCAGCCAGCAGCGCGGGGCGGGGCGGGGCGCAGCGGGGCCAGCCACCGCCTCCTCTCTGTCCTGGGGCAGGGCGGCCAGGCTGAGTCAGGGCGGCCTCCCAGTGACTCAGCAGGGCTCCCCAGGCGCCCCTGCCTTCTTCCCTTCCCTGCCGCTCCTTTGCTCGCCGTCCCGAGGTCCGGTCCAGGGCTCTTGCGTCCACACAGGGCCCGCGGAACCGGCTGCGAGTCCGGATGGACCCGGGAACCGCGTTTTCTGTGGTCGTTTTGGTGTTGCGTGGGACCCAGGGCCTCCGGCTGCGACCTGGTTTGCTGGTTGGCAGCCAGAGGTTTCCGAGGCCCCTTTTCCCTAAAACTGTAGGAATAACGACAGCCCCCTCCCCGCCCCGTCCTGGTGCCTTTGAGCCAAGACAAGAATTCATTCACGGAATTAGACTGCAAAAAGGCAAAAGAGTCTTATAATTTTATTTTCACAAAAAAGAAATGTTAACCCAGGCCTGGTGGCGCACGTCTGTGAGCCCAGCACACAGGAGGCCGAGGCAGGAGGATCGCCGCAAGTCTGAGGCCAGCCTGAACTTAGTGAGACTTTGTCTCAAAAACAAACAAACAAAACCAAAAAACCCCTCCACGACAAACAAAAACCAACAGACAAAACCCGAAATGATTCTATCTATAGTGTTTTAACCAAGTTCACCGGGAGAGTACAGAAATCTTTCAATTGCCATTCATAAGGTTAAAATTCTGTGCTGAAAAAGCCCAGACTGAACCCAAGTCCGGGGAGCCGGCAGGACGCCGCCTCGCCCCTCCGCTCTCAGCCCCGCTGGGCCGGGCCGCGGGTGGGGCGCAGTGCTCCCGCCCGAACGCACCGGGAAGTCAAGTTTATAAAACTCTGTTTCGGGGCGGCGCGTTAGCGCTTTACGACACCACCGACAGGGTCAAAGGTGGGAAATGTACGTTAATTATCCTTTCAAAATATCCAGAAAAGCGGCAAGGCCAGGTGTTTCCTTTCTAAGGGACAAAGGGCTGGGAACAGGAGGTGGGAGGCCTGGGCTCTTGCTCAGTGCCTCGGAGCTTTCAGCTCCGCAGGGCCTGCACCAGGTTTCTACAACTGGGCCCGGCACTGTTTTAGCTGTCTAGTTTTTTTTTTTTTTTTTTGGTACCAGGAATCGAACTCGGGACCTTGCGCTTGCGAGACAGGCGACAGAACCACTGAGCTAAATCCCCGGCCCCTGGCACTGTTTTAATAAGTGCCCAAGAAATGGTAAACACAAGGCGAACCAGACAGCAGTGGATGGAGGGGCCCGGACTCCACCCGTTGGCTGAGGGGATGCTGATTAGTTCACCCAGGCGGCCGGCAGCTCCCGGGACAGGAGCCGAAATAAACTGACCCCGAGTTAGTTCTTCTGGATGGGGTGGAGGAGGGAGATTAAAAAGTGCACATGTGTATCACAAGTCCAGCGTTCCTTGATTTATTGATGACCTATGAGCAAACACGAGCTCATCTTTAACTGTAAATGCTCATAGTTATTTCAGGAAGAGAGATTACTCATAGGTATGCGTTCGGGGACATTCATTTGACAGATTTAGAACACAACACTGAGTGACTTATGGTATGGACAAATTAAATCCCCCCCTGCCCCGTGTCCAACAATAGGGAACTTCTTACAAATCTGTGATGCTGCCATACAAATGTTTGCAGTTACAATCATGTTTTCAAAAACTGTCACTACAGCCGTGGGCCTGCTGGGGCAGTGAATCATCAGCGGGCAGATAAATTCCCCTGCTAGGGGTAGGCTGAGGCAGGGCAGTGCGATTCATTCTGGGCCAGTGAGCTGGACAGAAAGTGGGGCAGCTTCCAGAGAAGTTTTCCTCCAGCTTTAAAAGAGACCCAGGAGGGCTGGGGATTTAGCTCAGTGGTTCAGCCACCTGCCTCGCAAGTGCAAGGACCCAAGTTCGATCCCTGGTACCAAAAAAAAAAGAGAGACCCAGGAAACGAGGTCCTCCCTTTGTTGGATAACAGTGAGTGGCCAGGGCTGGGCTGACAGTCCAGGAAAACGGAGGACGTGTGTGTGTGTGTGTGTGTGTGTGTGTGTGTGTGTGTGTGTCCATGGCTGTGGGCCATGGCGGAAGTGCTGGATTCTCTACTGATTTTACCTGGACCCATGGGCTGTTTCTCACTTTTTCTTCCTAACAGCGTGGGCGGAGGGAATATTAACATCAGTATTGTCTCCGCCCCCGTCCTTGTTGCTAGAACTGGAGATTGACCATTGATGAGTCTCCAGATTCAGGAGTTATCTGTCTCTAGGACTAAAATGTATAGGATATCAGGAAATGGGAAATGTTCACGTGGGAAGGGGAACAAGGGAGGAGGGAGGGAGAAAGAAGGAAGGGAGTAGAAAAGAAGTGAAAATAGAAGGGAAAACAGAAACCAAGCTCTTGTACATAGGGACGGGAGGGGGCATGGGAAGCAGGGGCTGAGCCATCACCCACAGGTGCAGATTCTCTAGGTGAGAGTTACCATCACGTGTGCCTGAAATGTACCAAGAAATGTTTTGCTGTTAAAAAAGGAAGTTACCTTATCTCTGACCTTCTTATTAAGTGAGCTAATTATTTCTTACTGTTTAATGCCATTTGAGTCCAGGTTGTTTCTTACTTATAATTGGAAAACTTGAAGGATACTAATGAGGTACATGTAGAGAGAGGGAGGGAGGGGAAGAGAGAGAGAGAGAGAGAGAGAGAGAGAGAACGAGGCCTGATTTGCAGAAGTGGGTATTCGTTTGATTTTTGCCCTTTCTATATTTTTTGTATTTTTCTATATTTTCTGCATTTTCTATAACAAACTTAAATTGTTGTTGTGAATAAAGTGGAAAGGAATTCTTAAAAACTAGGCAAAGGTGGGGTAAATGTGTAGGTGCTGATCTCAGACTCTTGGAAACCTCTGGATGGAAGATCATTGAGAACTGGCGCTGCTCCAGGTAGTGAAGGGAAGGCTTCCAGGAGGAGCCATAGGACAGATTCTAGGACAGGGAGTGTCAGGGCCCTCAATCCACTGTTCCTCATGCGGCTGAGCACCTTCAGGACTGCACCATCTCTTCCACACCCGATGCTCTGCACAGAGGTAATCTCCTTTGAGCACCACAAGTGTCTTGAAAGCAAATATTGCCTATGTTTTGCAGAGGTAGGAACTGAAGGTCCCATTGGCAAGATGTCAAGACTATGATTTTAATGCAGATCTGACATTAAATACGTGCAGCTGCCCTCAACGATGTCACTGGGAAGGAAGATGGTGGGATGTTAGAAGGAAGGAGACCACCCGGGCGAGAGAGCTTGTGATTGTACGTGACAGAAACCCAGCCAAGGTGGAAATGGGGATGTGTGGCTGCCGGTGGGTAGGAGGAGGGAGCGGGGTGGACTGGGAGTAGAGAACCAGCTTGACCAGCCTGGGCTGGGGGTTGCAGCCTGCACAGGAGGTATTGAAACATTTTCTTCCTAAGGACATTGCCCCAAGACTGCAAAGAGAGAAGTGAGCCTGTCTCTCATGCTGCTGTCCACCCCTCTGCTCCACCTCAAAGCCTGAAGTCCGAAAGCAGCAGCTTTTCAGAGTAAAGTACCATTAAGGCCAACTTGGTCCAAATACGCACACATAGCTTTGTGGAAAGGATCAGCATCATGTCGTTATTTGTTATTTGCATACTGTTCTTTGCCCTTAAGAAAAATTCAGCATTGCCCAATAAATCTGGGCACAGCAAATAGCTCTTGGTTCCCACAGACAGAGGAACTTAAACCCACACTTCTTGTCCTGGAGCAGCGGAGGACACGACCGCGGGGTGACCTTTAAAATGTAGGGCTTTCGTTAGGTTGACCTGAACGCTTGTCTTCCAATTTGGGGCAGAATATTTGTATATTGAGATCTTCGAATTGTACCAGGACAGCAAGAAAGGGAGCATCTAATTTTCTCCCCCTCTAGGAAGGGTCCAGGCCAGGAGTGGCACAATTTTTGTGCAAAGAAAAAGTTAGTATTTTTGGCTTTGCAAACCCAACGGTCTCAAAAAGCTCAAAATAAATAAATAAGTAAATAAAATCAGTCTAAAATAGGTATTGTTGTTACCTGTTGGGGGTTTCTGTAACTTCCTGAAGAGGAATGATCTTATCAGGCCATGCACATTTTTTCTCATTTCTTTATTTTTTTGGTACTGGGGAAGGAATCAAACTCGGAACCTTGTGCTTTTGAGGCAGGTGGCAGAACCACTGAGCTAAATCCCAGCCCCATGCACATTTTAAGAAATTAAAATTAAATTTATGTCAATAGAAAAATAAATTTTATGTTTTAAAGCCTCTCACTTAAAAGGTAAAATTAAGAAAAAGAGCAGGGCAAACTGAGCTGTGGAGAAATCATAAACCTGAGGGGGAATAAATTATATTTTCCTTCTTGGGGAGGGGAAATAGGAGAATAACAGAGTAGCCACCGTTTTAGGTGTCTAGATTTTCCTGCGCCGTGACAGACATGGAACTGAAAACCTGCCTAGAGGTTGTGTCTAATTTTTTTTCCCCTGACCAATAATAATTTCTCTATATTTTTAAATAATTGGACTTATATAACATTGTAACATTTCTATCAGCGCCAAATGCAGACATCGTCTAATTTAAACTTGCGAAGGACCCAGCAGTGGTGGTAGCTGCTGGCATCCTCTCACGTTGTGGCTGAAACCTCCTCAGAAATCCAAGCAGAGGCGGAGGGTGACTCTGTGAGGTCCCCAGGGCCACAAAGCAACAAAGACACAATGACTCACAACTAGGTGTGTTGGGCATTATGACCTCTGCCTTCAAATATTAAAGGCAAGGCTGGATCCCTTGAATCTCACACCTATTAACCAGCAGGTTTGGACTCCTGGGAACCAAACTGCCTTCTCTGAGATAAAGAGCTCCCTCCCCTCTGCAATTGTGTTACAGATTGAAAACTGTTGAGAATAAAAGAAAAAACTTTCAAGTTTTAGTTGCCACTTAGAACTGTTTTCTTAAGATCATAGTGAACAACTGCACAGAAAAACGAAGGGGTAGAAATACAGGTTTGTGACAGGCGTGGTGGCATATTTCTCTGATCTCAGCACTCTGGGTGGCTGAGGCAGGAAGATTATAAATTTTAGCCTTGGGCAATTTAGTGATTTAGCAAGACCCTGTCTCAGAAATTTAGAAAAAAAGTGAGGGGGACAGGTTGAGTATGTAGCTTAGTGCTGAAGACCCTGAGTTCAATAGTCAGTACCAAAAGAACAATGGCAACACACACACACACACACACACACACACACGCACGCGCGCGCAGTTTTTAAATTATGCTCTGTGGACTTTTTTTTGTTTATTTTGAGACAGGGTCTCGCTATGCAGTTCAGGCTGGCCTAGAACTCACTATGTAGCCCTGGATCCCTTCAACCTTGCCAAAATCCTCCTGCCTCAGCCTCTGAGTGTTGGGTTTATAGGTGCCACCACGCCAAGTGAACCTCTGGAACCCTTGGGTGCACTTACACATTCACATGAAATATCATATTTTTGATGCAACAGTGAAAATTTAGGCTGCATAAGAAGGTTACATTGTATTTTATTTTAATATATTAATGTAATATTTTATTAGTGATTCCTGAATTTCACTGAAAAAAATGTCATTTTACTGAGCGGTTTACCAGGCTAGATCATTTTCTTCCAGCTTTCATGTTTTGTGAACACTAATTTAAGAATCAAACTTCTATCTGCATGTGAAAAAACTAATGAAGATAGCAAACAATTACATTGTTTTAACGAAACTCAGTAATTCCCATACACTGATGATTTCAATCAATTCCTTTGTTGTTGTTTGTTTGTTTTTTGTTTTTTTTGAGACACGGTCTCGCTATGTGGTTCAGGCTGGCCTCATCCTCCTGCCTCAGCCACCTGAGTGCTGGGATTACAGGCGTGCTCCACCACATGTGGCATGGCATGGTTTTACAGTAACTTAAAAATACAGTACATGTTTAATAAACACGAGCTGAGTGAATGAAGGAGTGAATGGGTGAATGGCTACAGACTTAGGTTCCTAGCAGGGAAGATGCGAGGAACCCAGGCCCGAGTACCCTGTTAGCAGTAGGGACAGATCTGCCTCTGGAAGCCAGGCTTCCCTTCCTCTGCCCTCATGTTCTGTTGTCTTACGACGTTTTTTTCCTGTGACAAAATATGCATAACATACAATTAGCATTTTGCTTACTTGGAAGTTACAGCCGAGTGATGCTACTTTCTCTTTGTGCAATCCCATCACCATCTGTTTCCAGGCCTTTCTGCTTCCCCATGTAACCTTGCCTCATTAAACAATAACTCTCCGTTCTTCCCTCTCTGGCGAACCCCATTCTGTCTCTGAACCAGGCTGCTCTGTATATGGCGCACAGGAGGAATCACACAAGGTTTGTCCTTCTGTGTCTATTATTTCACCTGGCAAATGGCTTCAGGGTTCATCTACATTGTAGAATATGTCAGTTTCCTTTCCTTTAAAGGCTGAATAATATTCTACTATTTGCCATTGTATGTACTCACTACACTTTATCCATTCGTCCAGCAGTGCATCTTTGGCTTGTGAATGATGCTGCTAGGAAATGGGTACAAATACCTGCTTGAGTCCCCGTGTTTGAATCTTTTGGGTAGAATTTCTGAACCTGAAATGATTCTGTTTAATTTTTTTTTTTTTTTTTTTTTTTGCGGTACTGGGGATCGAACTCAGGACCTTGTGCTTTCCAGGCAGGCGTGGCACCACTGAGCTACATCCCCGGCCCCTACTGTTTAACTTTTTTTTTTTTTTTTTGTGGTACTGGGGATCCAGCTCAGGTCCTTGTGCTTGCAAGGCAGGCGGTGGAACCACTGAGCTAAATCCCTGGCCCTTTACTGTTTAACTTTTTGAAGGCCGGTCATAGTATTGCTTTACAATGGTTGCACAATTTTACATTCCTGCCAGCAATGCCCAAGTGTGCCAATTTTTCACATTCTTGCCAACATCTGTTATTTTCTGTTTCTTTTGACATTAGTTTGGATTTATCAGCTTTTTCCTTTTTAAAAAAAAATTTATATTAGTACATGTTTGTACTACACATTGACCACAGTCATTGTGGAGAGCAGGCATATGACCATAATACATCTTAGTTCTTTTTATTCCCTTTAACTGGATGAGAAGATGAAAATAGGATAAATACAAGCACCTCGAACATTAAAACAGCTAAAGCAGCTATCATAACTATGATAGCTCATACGCGTTTCTCAGATCAGCATGCACTTTTATCTTTGCTTGTATCCTCTTTTGCTCTACTTGGCCCTAAGCTCGCTCTGCAGAGCCAGTATCTCTTCCAATCTTAACTTTTGCTTTCACGAATAAGTTTGTCACTGCTTTTTGCTTGTTTCATCCAATTCTTCGTTTGAAATGAGAAGAACCCGGAATCTAATTCCAGAAGTAGAGGCAAGCAACCTGAAGCTGGCAATGTTTAGTTGGCAAGTCCCCTTCTTTTTATTTTTATTTATTTATTTTTTGGGGTACCGGAGATCGAACTCAGGACCTTGCGCTTTTGACACAGGTGGTTAGTCCCCTTCTTTTTAGAAACAAGCTACTCAATAACAGTAACATTATGAGTCATTCTCATGGTTGAAACCAAGGAGTATTTGGGGTTCTCAGAACAGAATTAGGAGAGCGATAGAGAAGCAAAGGAGAGAATTAGGAGAGAGATGAATAGAGAAGCAAAAATGCAGTAGAAAAGAAGAGCAAAAGGAACCAAACTAGAATTTCAAAACTGTGGGTGCTGGGGCCGTAGGAGATTTCTGCTGAAAAAACAAGATCTTCACACTCTGTCTTAGGAAGAGATGATCAACATGGTATAAGCACAACATCCATACCGCAGAACTGAAGATTTGTAGGTAAACATGTGGTCACTCGCTGAGAGTTGAGGCCCTTTGCCCAAGTTTTATTAGTCACACTTGGGGAATGGTGCATTCTGAGCTATTTTTCTGTTAGTGATACATGCCAACTAATTAATTCACTTTCAGGTCAAATTAATGTCCTGATGACTCAGGATACCAATTTCAGGCCTAGGAAACAGGCCAGTTCCTAGCCAGGAGCCAGGGCACAGTCTGTAAGAATGGGCCCACTGGCTCCTAAACTGGCCATCCCAATTCTGCCCTGGTAATTTTAGTCTCAATCAAAAAGCAACGGACTATATTCAAGGAAGCCGCAAATTTGATTTTCTATTATGTGAGAAATATGGCTGTTTCATTATGTCAGTGAGAAATAGGTCATAAAATTGTGGATATTAAACACTAAAATGCAGACTGAATGAAATACAAAATACTGCATAAGGTATTTGAAATAAATTCATTTATAAGAAGACAGTTGCTTTAAAAATACAGGTTTTGGCCCAGGGATTTAGCTCAGTGGTGCCGTTGCCTGCCTCCCAAGTGCAAGGTCCCCCCAAAACAAAACAAAACAAAACAAAAAACAAAAAAACAACAGCTAAAGCAGCCTCCCTATGTCACAGAGGAGTCCCTGGGTATCACCTGGCCACGTCTTCTTCCAAAACTCCAGCAGCAGCAGGGTCTCGGTGTCCTAATAAGGACATCTGGGATCTCGTGCTATACCTCAGACATGTTATGGATTTAATCTGTTTTTCTTTGGAGCCATAAATAGAATTTTCAAGAGAAACCATCTTATAAAAAGCCCCTGGATACAATGTTAACCAAACCATTTCTTCTACAGACCCTGAGATGGATGGAAAATTTCCCAAAATGTACTTTGGAATCCTGAATATATACAGCAATTTAAGAACATAAAATAAAAAACATTCAGAAAAGCAACAGAAATAATTGTTCTTAGATCAAGAGTATCAGGGCCAGGGATTTAGCTCAGTGGTTCTGGTGCCTGGCTCGAAAGCACAAGGACCCAAGTTCGATCCCTAGTACCAAAAAAAGAAAAAAGAATATCATTAGGCATTATACTATTATATGATAATGACATTCCTCTATTTCTCCAAAATAAAAGGAACCCTCTCAATACCGGAGGAGCTAAGGCCCCTTTCACGGCTTCCCGGGTCACCTGCAGCTCGCCGTTGGGCTTCGAGGCCCATTATGTCACCGGCCTCATGCCTACACCGAAAGGGAGCAGGAACCGTGGCTGGACACTGGATCCTGCTGTTTTCCTCCCGGGGGAGGCGAGAGCCCGCAGCTGTGCCCTCCTGCCGCACGCCGGCCGACCCTGTGCCCAGGCTTTGGTTCCCTGTCTTGGGGCCTGCCACACGCCTG